AGTGCCACGTTTTTACAGTACTATGCGCCTTGTTATTAATACTTTATCTAACACATCCTGCTTTGTTCACCACTAAGTTGGCATTCCTTGTAGTCCGATACTCGCACCCAGTGCCGATAATGAGATCATCGATCGCTTGTTGTCCTGAAAATTCTTCTGGAATATTCAAGCTGCCAGACCGAGGCCATATTTCCCGCGAGGTATGGTGTGAGGTTGCCAATAAATGAATTGATTTATATACGAAATTGTTACGTCACGGAAAGTAATATTGTAATCATGGCGATTTGGAGTTGGTTAATGAATTGAATGCTGAGGTCACTCATTCTTAGCAACTCATTCCCATAAAGGAGAAAAATCATTGGCTCTAGGAACACGCATGGAAATTTTTTTCGCAAAAAAGTAAGATTATCAAAATCTCCAATAAGAGACTGCATGCAACTCACTCAGGTGGTGATAATCACGCACGACAGAGAACATCCAATACACCACACCGACTACAAACCAAGAGGTCGATGCAATTCACAATGATACAGGACGGCATCAACGACCCTGCCGCTGATTGCTCTCGCTCCGGACCAAATTATAGTCCGTCCTGTGAGCTAAGGGAGTGTTGGTAATATTTGGGAGCTGCATGTGTAGACGAGACTAGCCTGTCAAATGAGGTTTTACGAAGTGACGAAAAGCATATTATAAATGTGAGTGAAGAAACATGAAACTAGTATACAAAAAATAGGAAGAGAGCTTATTGAAGGGTGAAAAAATAATCGGGATTCTAACGCACTTGGTGTACAAGCTATGATGCTAGACACGAGAGTGCAGAACTTAATTATTGCCAGAGAAGGAACAGGATTGCACTTTCGAGGTGCAGGGAAGAGAAATGCTCTCATCTTACGCACCGTGAATTACAAGAGGGAGCGGAAAGATTGCTTTTTTAATTAGTGGTAATGATATTTATGATATTTATCATCTTCGGCGAAGAAAAATGAGACAGTATCGTCAATGACGCTGTAGGTAAAACTGTCGGTAAATATTATAAGATAATTATTCAAGGAGGTTACGCAAGAAATTTCCTAAAATATTTATTAAAATTTAGGGTATCTAAAAATAATACCATAAAAGATTCCAGCCAATAGAGGTGAAGTTTAGCCTATCGAAGAAAGACCGTTAACGACATTAGAAAAGTACTTCATCATAATAAAGTTAACGTTGTAATAACGTTTGCATAAATGTTCAGTCTAAACTTTATGAAAACGGAAAAGTAAATTCTAAATAGTCGAGATTAACAAATTCGAAGTGCGCAATCTGATCAAATATATTTATAAAAATAACTATTAAATCCTGTGAAACATGACTGAAAGTTGACGCATATTGCCCACCGGAGTACATGATGGACTTTTTTCCAAGAATTTTCGCAGAACTGCTTATTGCCATTTTCATTTAGGCTAAGATGCCAGCTAAAATGAAGAGACAGACAAGCTGCTTTCGGCCTTCCATATTAATTGTCCGACTGTTTGTTGGGTGCTTTTGAAGACGGACTCAAGAAAGCCTTCTCACTTTCTCTCAAGGCGAAAATAATATAGAAGGCTGAGAGGAGTCCATACTCTTCTAATTATGAGTCGCTCTCAGAGTATTCTGGAAAAAACACGTGCAAAACATCATAATATAAGGCGGAATTACACGAACAGTTATAGAACGTGTGTTTATTGCTTTCGTTTTTCATCTGGGTGAAGATAGAGTTGCAATTTGCAGCAAATGAAGGCTTTTTTGTGCCTCTTTTGACAGCGGATTTTAATTATCAATTGAGAAATGTAATTACAAATCATGAAATAGTTCCATTATGGATCACTTATTATTCGACAACACGGAACACATGGTGTAAAAAAACAGTTATCTTCCTTTGTACTACCGTCATTTGATCATTCTCATCGTTATAAACCCGCACGACAAATTCAGACTTTTTCAAAGTCCGCAAGGGCCCCTTTGATGTGAATCCGAAACGAACTAAGTAGCTACAAGGAAAGCTACTCATAAGCGAGTTGAATGAAGTGCTGCCCTTCAGCAGTAAGCAAGAATCTAATTATAAGCGAGGGATATGACCTACTGACTCTCGGCACTAAACAGGAAAAATATTAAAATGTTTTGCGCAATCTTAACAAATTCCTATCTCATCCAAAACATGTGTCATGAATTAATGTAAATTACATCGCAAAATGAAAAAACGAAAAACCACAATTCCACCCACTGTTTATTTTAAAAAATACGTTGGCAGTCCCGGAATAGGGCATTAAATTTTTTAGTAAACAACCAATATTTGTTGTAGAAATGAATATCGAACAAAAAATAAATTTCGCTTATCGTACAAAATAAATATTTTTTACTCTAATCCTTTACATTTCATCTGGCTATGAAAATAGCATTTTGGCATTGACATGAGTTCATAATTGACGTTCCTTATGCCTCGAGCAACTTCAATTTCCTTTTTATTTACAAGACCAGAAAACATCAAACAATTTCCGTTGATATGCGACTCTTGTGGTCTCTCATATGAACCTTGCAGATTCTGCTGAAGTAAAAAGCGAGGCTAGCGAGGTAAATTCCACGGGAAAACGCTCCATGTTCCAGAGGAATTCGGCGTACACAGCTGGACTCTGTTTATTGGTCATGGGTTCTTCATATCTTTCTCCATATATCTGTTTTATTGCTCTCTGAGCTCTACTTCACCCATTCGTTTCATTAATTACGGGTTCGGTGCTGAAGTCTGAGCTTTTGAAGTGTTTATGAGAGACTACCTCACCTTCCCGAGGTCAATTTTAATGAAGTTCAAAAGCTTTTTTTTCATCTCAAATGCTTTTAACGTTCGTTCTCCAATTTCGTCGAAATAAATTCACTTTTCGACAGCGAAAATCTTGCATGCACTCCATGGGGTTTTCCATTTTGAATAGTTTTCGGGCATTTCTTTTATAAAGAAAAGAGAAATCTTGAAAAATACGAGCGATATCGACAGTTGCAAAGGTTTTTATTTTGAAATCCGTCTGTATTGAATTGGTATTCCAAAACTATTCTCACTTGGCTTAAAACGCATACGTCTGTCATATATGATTCAATTATGTCAAATTACCAAAAATACCGCGAAGGAATAATTTTGTAGTTGCATATAAAAATGTTGTGAATTATGTTACGAGAGCATATTTATTTATATTAATTAATTATATAACCTTAGCTATAATTTAATAACCCTAAAAATGTTGTTAGCTGGAGTTTAATCATATATTAAAAATATACCAAATAGTGATGAGCAATTATGATTCACTCGAAAGTTTTGCCCAGTTAATTCAAACAAGAATAAATCAACATTCATTTATGAGTTCGTTCCGCAAGAATAAATTAAAACTAAACAATTTGATGAGAGGGAATATAGTTAAATACTGGTTGTGACATCCGTGGACTTTTTCATCCAGTTATTGGACTTTATTTTCCAGTTACCTGAGAAGCTTTTCCGAATAAAATAAAGAAAAAATAAAAATAAAAACGAAAACTATGCGACCAGCGATAGCCAAAATGAAAAATTTTTTAATACCGGAATAACAGTCTCGATCCACTGTTGTCAACGCTCAGCCATAAATTTATTATGAATTCTTCGACAGAAAAGGATCTAAATCAGTGAATGTGGTGCTGGTGGAGAGGAGGAAGCTTTGACCAAAGTAACACGGAATATTTTGCACTTCAGTCGACGGGCGACGGTCGGGGAAAGAGGTTGTGTTGGTTGCTCGCTCCTGCGATCGTGTGAGAGTCACGTCCTGTGTTTAAAATTCCATCACAATGGCTTCATAAAGAAGTTTTTCATTGTTCAAAATAAACGCGGAAGGGAATTATGAATAAGAACATTATGAATATCAATTACTCAAGCATGCTATCGAAAATAAATGGTTAAAAAACAAAAGTATTATTGGAAAATTAAACAATATTTTTTTTGCAAATCTTAGCAACTTCTACGACAAATATTTTCCTTCTCGTTGCATATTTATGCGCTGCGGAAGTAAGGATAACATTGAAATTAACATGTAAATGAGTTAATATGTGACCATATATAAAGTGAACAAGCCAAGTTCCCCCTTGCATCTTAAGTTTGACGAAAGTCTTACGGCTTTCAATACTTTTTGCGCCTAAAATAATTGTAAAGTACACGCGTCGCGGGAAAACGCAAGTTCTGTAATAAAACTGATCAAGTTTGAAGACTTGAGAACTGCCGTCCTCGTCTAGGAACGAACTTTGCGAGCCACTATGGCGTTACTGGGAAACTTTCTGAACTTGCATGTGACGGCACTCATTTTTTCTCTGTAATACTTTTTTTCAATTCTGCGGCCCAGCCTAAGCCTGTCCTCACAAACTATAAAACTTGACCAGCCAAGCTTTGGCGACTACGGCACAACTTTTCAATAGAAGTTCAAGGAAAAACGTGCACTTAATTTGCAGGAGAAAACGTGAAGGAAGCAACGTAGCTATTTTATTTTACTTTCGGAGTGGCCGAAACTGAAAGATCAGCAGATTGAATGCGCCTGAATACAATCGCTTTTTTTTACATTATTATACACTTTTCAAATAGAGATTCTTCTCTAAATTTAGTTCTGGTTTATCTTTAAATGCGTGAAGACGATGTGTGTAGAAATCTTCATGCATGAATTTGCGTTGATATGCAGAAACATTCATATATATTCTTTTTATAATAGTTTGTTCAGATATTAGAACCCGATATGAAAGACTACACGAATGCAAAAATTTGAAACCATAATTATTCGGTTCATTATCAGCAGAACTTGTAACTTGAATTGGTTTCGGGTAATTTGTTGAAAAAAGCTCTTAAAAAAGCTCTTAATTGAAATGATGAACCTAACGCAAATAGTACCATGACAAGTTGACAATAACCAATTGATAATTTCAAACTTGACTAAAACAATGATCTGATTACAGTGATAATTACAACTTTGATTCCAATAAGCCTAATGGAAATGCTGCCAGTGGATGAGGTATCAAGATCAGCGTACCGACGCGTCAAGTCCCTCGTCCTATTGCTTGTCTGTGCGCTTGTTGGCGTGGCGGCCACTCGCATATCTCGGCCGACCAGCCCCAGCGGACTAGAACAGAGTGAGTACATTCATTTTTTCGATTAACAATTCAATTCGAGTTATATTATTCGTGGATATACTTGTTACGACTAAACTGTCGGTAAATTAAAACTGAACTAACTAAACTAATTTCTAACGGAAAAAGAGAAGTGTATTTTTTCACATATATTATGAGGCACTCGTTTTGAAAAATATTGAAGACAGCCTATAAACTCTTGATTATATGGAGGTGTAAAAAAGGAGATGCGAGGCTTTAGCGAATTTGATGAATTATCTTTTCACGACGCGGTGCTGTGCATATAAGCCTTTTGATGACCTGCCTTAGTCCTGTCTTAATCTCGCTTCTATCCTATCATTATCCTGCTTAAGCCCAAACAAGCTCCCAGGGATGGCGGTTCTTCGGCGAAAGGAAGAGATGCGTAAATCTTGAATAGGATATGACTGGGGAAAGTATAATATGAATATAAATTAATATTTATTTTAAATAATAACCAATATATTTTTTAATATTTTCAGTCTATAGATAATAAATAATATATTAAATAATTATATTTTAAATATCTTAAGGAATAGTATTTTTCACGTCGTTGATTGTTGTTGGAGTATAGGCCGGTTTTATTCTCGTATTAATGGTTCGTGTGAAGTCCGAATGATACGACCGTTCTCCTGATGGATGAGACTCCTATTGAACCGCTCGAGCGAAATGAATGTTTTAAAGTTATGGTGAAATCAAATACAACTAGCAAAAATTTTTGCTCATTTTATTTAATGATAATAGTTTTATTGTTTCTAACAAGAATACAGAAGTTAATGAACAAATTAGCCGAGTCAAGTCCTAGCTTGCCTTCAGGACGCTGGGCGAGATCCTGTGTTATCCTACCTCATAATCCTGCAATGACTCGCAGCTCTGCCTCGACTGGAGCTCAAAAGTGGAGGCAAGAGCCGTAGGCTAGATACGCATACGCGCTAAGCGCTCATAATCCGAAGAAAGACTTTCTAATGCTGAGTTTTATCTTAAAAAATATAACACAGTACTCACTGCAGTGAGTGACAAAGAGCGCATTTTCTCGTCGACGAAAACGTGGTCAGGTACGGACGGACGGACAGACAGACAGACGGACATGACGAGCACAATAGCGCCTTTTTTCCATAAATGAAAAAATGCGCTAAAAAAATTAAAATTTGAAGCGCAAATCATTATTTTAACTACAGACAGATAATAACTTTATAAACTTGGGAAGTTATTTGAATTCTAACATCAATTAAAAGAATACTTATAAAAATGAATTTAAGTACATTCTATCAATCACATAGTAATCTTCAACTGTATTTGTAACCGGTTAGGATCAAATTATTTAAATCGAATGTTTCCGGTCTTAAAACTCGTTTCATAATTTTAGTCACGGCTTTTTCGTAAGAACAATTAAAAATGTATGGAATTCGTATGGAAACAATTAAAATTCCAGATGTATGCCAAGCACATTTCTGGAGTCTAAACTCTAGAAAATTTCCCAAAATGCCGTTCGAGTTCACGATTAAAACAAATTTAAATAAAATTTCCTAAAAAACAGTCTGCGGCAAATAATAAACTTTTCAATGTAGAATATTCTTCATTCACCGGTACGGGAAAAATTTCTTGGGATATCAAATCCGACCGAAAGCAAGAAAATTCTGTTGTTTGGTTTAAAAACTGAACCTAAGTTTTAAAACATTCTTGAGTTTAGAAACCAAATCCGTCCAGACATGAAATCCAGCATTTTTTAAGTAAAAATGTTCAGTTTCGTGCCACACTGGAGTAAAAATGGCGCGTTGAAAGGACTCTAAATCTCGGAAACTGTTTTTTGGACGACTACTGACAGTTCCGGACATGAGGGTTCCGGAAAAATGAACTGAGCCAGGACTTGAATTTCTATTCTTAACCTTCGCTAGTGTTAGGAAGCATGGACCTAACGTCTCTTTCTGAAACTTGGTAAATTTTGAGTAAGAACAAGTATATAATTAAAGCAAATTGGAGATGGAATTTTGTATAAATTTGAGTGAAGTGGCTGTACTTCATTAAGAAATATTGTTTTCCATTTTAAATTTAGGCATCGGGAAAAAAAGACCTTGCCTGGTAAGGAAATTTGTTTTTAACTACTAATTTGGTGTTATTAGTTGCCTGCACTCCAGGCAGTTGTCAAGAATTCGTAAAAACCTCGATTTTGGCGCGCTGGCCACGAAATAATTTTTTTTAGAAGAAACGCGTTCACGCAGCACCAAGACATACGTCACGCTAACCTACGGTTGATGTCATCTGATGTCTAGTTTTCGCTCCTCAGAAATTCTGGGGATATATCGCTAACGAACTGAACATGACTAAGACGCATAAAACTATGAATTGTTTAAAATATGCATAAACTATTTCTTTCCTTAAATGAAGAAAAAATTTAATATCTCCTGAGGCAATTTCTACGTCTTAAAATTAAAAGGACACTGCCTGGAAATGTTATTCATCGCTGAATTACTGAAAAAGTTAATACTGTTAATTTGGTCGCTGATAGGGCGAATGAAATTATGGTGCGGCTGTCAGCAACTATACTTACATTTGTTAGGCTAAAAGCGATCTAGCTACAAATTTCGACTGCAAGTGACATAGCTGAGCAAACAAACTTAGCCACTAAAATAAACGACCAATTAAGTTATATTGGTCATATGACAAAAATAAGTTAAATGTACAAAAAATTGCATGAGTAACTTATATAAGTAAATTTAACTTATATAAGATAGTAATAAAATTTTTGGCATAGAATGAATAACTTTGATGTTAAATAATTTGCAATGGCAGGAAAACCCTTCGTAAATCCAAGCTACCTTGTTAATTGAAAAATTTCCTCATGGGTGCCGTAAACATGCGAGCTAAAAGGCACGCAGAAGTAAAGGGCGTTCCTTAATTACGCCAAGAATTCGGCTAAATTTGCGATGCCAGGATAGCAGCGAAGCTTCGTGGGATGACAGCCTAATTATCAACACAAAGCGCTCCGCTAAACTTTTGTAGGGAAATTTGCTTGCTTGTATAATTATCATTTCACTTTTGTATTCTGTTGCTCATTAAAATCAAATAAAAACACTGATTGCACTGTTCAGGAAAGTTTTAGAGGCTGTAAAAGTTAACAATATTTTCGTGATTTTTTAAATTGGTTTATATTTTTGTAATTGAAAAATAGGAATTTTTAAATACTTAATAATATGTCAAAACATCACAAAAAAGCAGTAAATCAAAGTATATCCTCATCTGCTGACGGAAATAAAAAAATATAACTCAGTACTCACTGCAGTGAGTTACAGAGAGCGCATTTTCTCGTCGACGAAAACATGAAGTCACGGACAGACAGACAGACAGACAGACAGACGGACATGGCGAGCACAATAGTGCTTTTTTTCCGTAAATGAGAAAATGCGCTAATAACAGTATAATAATAATAGGAGTAAATTTTACGCGGAGTAAAAATGCATCAATTGAATATAAGATCAATGGCAGCCCGCAAACCGTTACAACAAGTTTTGAATATCTATCCTGAAACCAAAAGCTCTCAACATTATATTTTGGAACTTTCGAGCTCCTGAAAAGTTGAGTCGCTAAACACTCATCTAGCGCCAAGACGCATAGTGTGCCGTGGATCTCTGTAACAGACGCGCCATTTTTCACGACACAAAGTCAATGTATTAATTAATATTATAGCAAAAATGTCCTTCAACTAAGCGGTATGGTCATCAGGCATGCATGCATAATATAGTTAGACGTCGCTTTGTGGCATCTCTTTTAATGAAAGTTGAGATCTTTTATCACTCTGAAGGAACGCTGCAGTTTACCTACAAGATTATAGTTGCGTAGCGCCTGACTGCAACGCCGTCATTAACCTTCGCAATGGAAATGTTGGCGGGACGTAGAAAAATGAGATGCCATTTCCGACTCCGGCTTAAGTCTCTTCTATGCAATTGAATTCTGCCAGCATTCAAGGCCGGCAGAAAAACGAAATGTTTTTCAGCTGTGCGGAATGAAGACGAGATGCGAGGTATTCCAGAGGCGGCATGCTTGAGATGACTTGAGTTCTTCAAGGAAATTCTGGACTCGACGTCTTCACAAGAAACTGAATTGAGATCTCGGAAAGTGGCACGCGCTCCCCACAACTGAACATTCTTCTTTGCGGGAACCTTCAGTGGGAGGAGCAGTTAAATTCCGTCCAATACGTGTTCGATGCACGTAAAATATCGGACACGCAAATAAATGAAAAAATTAAATATATTTTTTTTAATTGCAAGCTCAAGTGTTCTGGATGTCATGCAAGAAAGCATACAGAATATGTCTCAATAAATCGTGATCATTATACAGGATTCTATTCCTCTAAGACGAAATAAATATAATTATTTATCCAACATCAAATAAGATGTACAATTAACGAACACAGCTTGCTTATCTTGCAGCTGACGATCATAAATCTATTAAAAACTACCTACGTATAAAGAGCATTTAATCAGTTAGGCAATTTCTCGAGTTAATTAGTCTCTGGCTTGCAGATTGTCGTAACTTAATTGGTTATTCACTGCACAGGAATGCAAGCAACAACAGGTTCAGTTATAGTGTACATGAATAAATACAGCTAAGCAAAATGTCTGCGCTTGAAATGTACCTTTTAGATACCTGATGACGGCAAATAAACTTTTGAATTCCAATTTCTGACAGGTGCAATGCTCTTTCAACCTACACTTAGAGATTCCTGATCAGCATTCAGTAGCAGCTAGTTTTAGTTGAATTCCATTCAAAACGCGTCCGATTCAAGTTAACTATATGAGACTTGATCATTCACAACGTGAATAACAAAACCCATTCTGTACAACGAACAAGTTGAGGTCGCAGGAGCACTATAGCAAAATAGACACTAATAACACCCTTCTCAAGAGATACTGAGGACCAAAAAGATTCATAATAAAATGAATGATGATTTGCCGCGATTTTCTGAGCAAGCGTGCGCTCGGGAGATG